TGTTTGTAATTCTAATGTGTTGTATGATTGAAAGCATTTGAAAAAGTTAGATTCTAATGATTTGCACATTTGAAAACATCCGAAAACAATAAGTTCTTAGTACAATTGAAAACACCCGAAAATCATTTTGTTTTAATGTCTTGTACATTTGACAACATCAGGAAGCATCTACATTTGAAAACACCCGAAGAACGTTAAATTTCAACGTTTTGTACGTCTAAAATCATCTAAAAACTAAAAATTCGATTAAAATTCTCGACGTCAGAACCACATTTGAATAGCAAAATTTTATTTCACGTTACATCTAGATAGCAATGTTTTCTAATGTTTGATGCCAGGAATATATTTTATTTCGATGCTGATGTAGACATCAAACGTTGGGCAAACGTAAATTTTTATTTGGTTTCCCCCGGGACACCCGGAATATGTCCGGATGTGGCCAAAGTGGTTCTTGTACTGGTTTGAGTTCCATTGAACCAGAAATTGAATTCTGATGTATTTTGATGTGTCGCATGATGGGTTTGACCATAATCAGATGTTGGCCTCTTCCCCCGGGACACCCGGAATATGTCCGGATGTGGCCAAAGTGATTCTTAGAACTAGATTTGAGTTCCATTAAACCAGTCGTTGAATTCTCATGTAATTTGATGTGTCGCATGATGGGTTTGGCCCTAATCAGATGTTGGCCTCTTCCCCCGGGACACCCGGAATATGTCCAGATGTGGCCAAAGTGGTTCAAGGAACTAAATTTGAGTTCCATTGAACCAGAAATTGAATTCTCATGTAATTTGATGTGTTGCATGATGGGTTTGACCCTAATCAGATGTTGGCTTCTTCCCTCGGGACACCCGGAATGTATCCGGATGTGGCCAAAGTGGTTCTTGGAACTAGATTTGAGTTCCATTGAACTAGTCTTTGAATTTCTGTGTATTTTGATGTGTTACATGATGGGGTTGACTTAGTTTGTAAGATATTCTATTTAAAAAAAAAAAATTTGTTAGTTATAAGAATAAGATAAATGTGTATATTTTTACACATTTTAAGATCTCCAAATTTACACATTTTTTGACAGCTGCATATAAATATAAAAATGTGTCTTTCTTTACACATTAATGTGTTTACGCTGGTTACCGTGTATATATGAAAGTTTGACAGATGAAATGAGGGGTTATTCGTTTTTCCTATGTTTCGAGGGGTGAATCGATTAGCTTCCCGCATAAACGCGAACCATAACTTGACCTTACCGATAATAATTATAAATTGTTTATAATCCCTCCTAAACTTTAACTGAAATGATTATGGAACTTTACATGAACGTTTGTGTGATAAAGTTTTAACCTAATGTATTATTGTTTTTTGAAAGCGGACCTCACAAATAATGGGTTGTTAAGAACCATTACCATTCAAAATTCTTGTTTTCTCCATACATTTTCGAAAAGAGAACTATATTAAAGGGTGATACGGTCAAAATTTGGTCAATATCAACTTGACGTATTTCTTTCAATTTTGCATTTAAAAAACCTGAACACCCCTCATTTTGAAGGTGTGTGTGTGTAGAATGTTGCTCCTATTTTGATTTTGGAATTCACTCTTCAGTTGTCAAAATGCCGTCCAAGCAAGAAGAGCAGCGTATCAAAATTTTGCTCGCGCATCGCGAAAATCCGAGCTACTCGCACGCAAAGTTGGCAAAATCGCTAAAAGTTGCCAAATCAACCGTTACAAATGTAATTAAAGTGTTTGGGGAACGTTTGTCGACAGCCAGGAAGTCTGGATCGGGGGGAAATCGAAAACCGGAAGCCGCTGAGACGACAAAGAGAGTTGCCGGTAGTTTCAAGCGAAACCCTAACCTCTCTCTCCGAGATGCCGCAAATAAGCTGAGTGTATCGAGCCAAAAAACGAGCCGGACTATCGACTTACAAGAAGGTAGTGACTCCAAATCGCGATGATAAACAAAATACGACGGCCAAAGCGCGATCCCGGAGGCTGTACACGACGATGCTGACGGAGTTTGACTGCGTGGTAATGGACGACGAAACCTACGTCAAAACCGACTACAAGCAGCTTCCGGGACAGGAGTTTTATACGGCAAAAGGAAGGGGAAAGGTAGCAGATGTTTTCAAGCACATGAAACTGTCAAAGTTCGCAAAGAAATATCTGGTTTGGCAAGCCATCTGTACCTGTGGCTTGAAAAGCAGCATTTTCATAGCTTCCGGGACTGTCAACCAAGAAATTTACGTGAAAGAGTGTTTGAATAAACGTCTGCTGCCTTTCCTGAAGAAACACGGTTGTTCCGTACTGTTTTGGCCGGATTTGGCATCTTGCCATTACGGTAAAAAGGCCATGGAGTGGTACGCCGCCAACAACGTGCAGGTGGTTCCCAAGGACAAGAACCCTCCCAACACGCCAGAGCTCCGCCCAATTGAGAAATACTGGGCTATTGTCAAGCGGAACCTAAAGAAGACCAAAAAAACTGCTAAGGGCGAGCAGCAGTTCAAGGCAAACTGGCTTTCTGCGGCGAAGAAGGTGGACAAGGTGGCTGTACAAAATCTGATGGCAGGGGTCAAGCGTAAGGCCCGGCAATTCGGATTTGGAAAAGCGGAAGCCTAACTGAATATTTTTCCTGAATTTTATACTAATTGAACTTGAAAAAGAAATTTAATTTGATTTTTTAAATAAACGATTTCACCGATTTACACGCGTTTTCCCTTGACCAAATTTTGAAATCTGCACTTATTATTGTTTTCTCAATAACGGCACCGGTGGTGTAGTGGTAAGCGTGATTACCTCTCACCCCAGCTGGCCTGGGTTTATTCCCAGTCGGCGCCACCGGGATGTTCTGAGGCATAACATCTCTGATCACGCCTTCCTTCGGGGCGTAAAGCCGTTGGTCCCCGGTTCATGAGTTGATGGGTCGATAGGTAGGGTCCAGGTGTAGGAGCTGCCTTCCTGGCACGTCGGTAGCATTGGTGCTCAGCACGGAAAACAATATCGACGAAAAAAAACAAACCAAAGGAAAAAAAAAAATGTTTTCTCAAGGTTTTTTGATGCGTACCGTGCCGATTCAAATTTCGGACACTTAAACTCGAATTTCGGACACTTTTAAAAGTTGATTATCTCGGTCGAATATGATCCACATGTCTTGTAAATTTTAAATTTTTTTGACTAGTGCCCTCCACGATCATCTAACATTATTACTTTGTTTCTAACTGGATGTAATATTTAATTAAAAATGAAAGTGTCCGAAATTTGAATCGTCCGAAATTTGAATCGGAACGGTATAACGTGGTAATGATTGAAAATGGATGCAATCATAACGAAGTGAGAATCTTGCTATCGCAATATAATGATGATGACATCGATCATCCTCTTCCCTCGGCTGATCATCAACGTCCACGCTGGTATATGTCATTTATTGAGCCCTGGTGGTAAAGTTGGCGGGGGACTCCCAACAGTTTCAATGTGCACTCACGAGATGGCACTGCGATCACATAAGGGTAGTGTATCCATTGCCTTGTTCGAGGAATTGATTTGTGGGATATCTTGTTAATGAAATATCTTTGCTAAAACCCAGAATATAGGTAAAATTTACCGATAAATATAAATATAAAAATAACGTTATTTTTTAATAATTTTATGAGTAAAGTGCGGTTCAAATATTTACTTTATTTTTTACCTAAAATTGGGTGAAAATTTTGTCACTGTGCAACGAGCAGCAATTCGCCTTGACACCAGTCCTGAAGTGACGTTTCTTCACACACATTTTGACAGTTCCTTATGGGGTTTTGCGTTGGAGTGAGAGAATAAGAAAAAGTCCGCCATGTTTCACACATAGACTGACAGTTGAGATTTCTCCATATGAGTAAAGAGTTACAGAGCTCTCGTCAACGCCAATAATAGAGTTCTCAACCGCCGTTAGTATTAGTGAGAAGTTTCACTAATACATGCATTTTACTGGTTGAAAATAAAAAACAAACCGCTGTCAAATCGAACACTTTGACAGCTGATTTTGTGGTTGAAAATAATAAATAAATCGATTTTACACGGCTACGCTAGCTAGGTTGTATTAGTGAGATCTTACGTCGAGAAGTCAATTGTCGCATTTACACAGCAAAAAAAGTTGTAGAATATTACATTGAAACCAAAGATGAATACTAAGATGAAACTGTCGGAAGAAAAACTTTCTATTTTAGTGTCCTCTTTCATGGTCCCTTTCATCCAATGAATACCCCCCGTATTCAAGGTAATTTTGAAATTTTGCGCTCATTTTGATCAAAACAAACACACCAAAAACAGGTGTCCCATTTTTTAATTACTCAGTTAACAACTAATCGATTTTTTTTTGTTCGCTGTACTGCCATTTTTCCACCAATGAGAGTGCAGCACATGTTTGAAACGATCGGTGATGATCCTCTGGAGAAGTTAATGCTTATATCGGCATGATATAACCGATTACAAATATTTTACTTTTCGGTTCGTTAATCGATTAATCGATAATTCGAATGAAAATCGGCCATCACTAGATGAATGTGAAACGTCATTTCAAATATATGGACCGTACATAAATAATGATACAATTTGAAAGGGACCGGGGCTCATCACAAATTATGTCCACACGGTAACTGAAATAAACACGAGTGTTCACCGGTTGGTAGAGCAGTCAGTATATAGTTCAGTTTTATTTATTGTCTATTGTTCTGAGCGGGGAAAATAGATGCTTTAAGATGTTGAAATTCTCCTGAGTGTCATCATGGCGAAAGAAATCGCCCTTGTTCGGATTTTTTTGTTTGAATTTTATTTATACAGGATTTTTAGATTTCACATTAATTATTTTTAAACCGATCTCAATCAGAAAACTGTAACGGTGGCAGCATGTTGTTGCAATTGCCCCCTCCCTACTGAATCTACTGGATAAACTGTGGTGGAGTTGGTTTCTCGAATTCGCCCGAAGCGTCTCTAAGAAAATATGACTATCAATTTTATTGTTCGATCCACTACAACATCTACTCGTAATACACTGCAAGTACGGTCGCGATTACAAAATACGTCGGTGCTTCGTACACAAAGTTCACGTATCCATCCTTTTCGGCATCCCACACGAAACGCATGAACGATTTGAAGTCCTGGGAATTCTTATCTCCCACGGTCACCATGGCAACCACTCGATACCGCTCAAAGCTGCACCGTTTGACCATATCTCGGAGTTCGGCGCTGAGATTCTCCGCCAATCGCTTGGCACGTCGTGGGTTGTACTTATGATCCTCCAAGAATGAATTGAGATAACGATCGATTATAAACTGCACTCGCTCACGATTGAACTGATGGCACGGATATGACACACCTCAATCTGACTGCCACGGCAGCGGGTACCGCGCTTTTTTTTTTGCTTGCGCTTTTGCTGGCAGTTGTGCTGTCTGTGTCACTTTTGCCACCTGTTCTGGTACAAATTGCTGTCTTTTGCTCTAGTACCGGGTGCACCAGGTACACTAAAAAAACAGCTAGGTGAACCAAAAAAAAAAATCGCGTGAAGGAGGTCCTTACCCTTTGGGTCCATGATTTCAACCGTTTTGTGACATGGTAGAACCATAGAGGTAACTCTAAGACCACTGGGTCCCGAAGAAAATCATTATTATTTTTGGCTCACTCAGTACCAGAACAACGGTCCCAAGCAGTCCCAAGCTATTTCACTCACCCCTGCATGTTCTGCATGAATTCACACACCCCTGATGTTATCTGTCAAACTTTCATAGCGAATCAAAACAAACATAGTGTAGTAATAGAATTTCAACTAGAATAGGGTACGTTAATCGTTTGCTTGGGACCAATAGGCTACTAAAGTGGTGAGCCAATTTAAAATCGTTAGTTTCGTATTGATTGTTGGTAGAACCACAAACGAAGTGACAGACGGAGCGGCTCGAAAACTTTGGTGACTAACCTGCTATTGCAATTTTTCAGTGTACCACATGGCAACACCACTACTACTGGATTGTACCATAGAGGTAACTCTAAGACTAGTAGGTCCCGAATAAACGTGCTCAACGTTTTGGCTCAGCTCTGGTACACAGAAAAAAAAGTTGTTGAATATTACATCCAAACTGCTGCAACCAGGTCAATCCATCGGTTGTGTAATATAACGTTGTACGATGTACATCGATTTTGCGAACAAAATTACATCCATTGATGTAATATTGTATCTGCTTTTTGCTATTACATCATTGTTTCATACATCAGCTTGAATTACATTGATCGATATTACATTTTTTTTTTTGCTGTGTACTATCTTCGGTCCCAAGCTAATCGATTCACCCCTCGAAACATAGGAAAATCCAACAACCCCTCATTTTATCTGTCAAACTTTCATAGCGAATCAAAACAAACATTGTGTAGTACTAGAATTTTGACTACAATGGGATACGTTAATCGATTTGCTTGGGACCAATAGGCTAGTCAAGTAGTGAGCCAATTTAAAATCGTTAGTTTCGTATTGATTGTTGATTGTACCACACTTAAGCGAAAAATATACGATCCACAAAATAAGATTTCGCTGGATCGCATCTGTTTACAGTTCGAAGCGAAGCGAAATATTTGCCAATTGCGTTTTTCACGCAGGTGAAAAATTTAGTATTTTGTATGAATTTTTCGCTTCGCTTCGATCTCTATACAGGCCTTATGCAGCGCTCGCGAAAAGAGCAGTAACTAAGCGAAAAGTTGACGTTTCGGGAGAGCGTATCTGTCAGATTTTCACTTCACCGGAGGTGTAAACTCAATGAGGTACAGAGAGAGGTGATGCAGATCGTGAAATATGGTTGTATAAGTAAACCAAAAAATCAACGTAAACGCAAGTTGTGACGTCACTAATTGCTTGTATCGTACAGGGGTTTTACTCACAAAACTTAACCGATTGCTTCACCTCGGTAGCTCATTGGTGTAAACTGATCGATTTCGTTTCACATGAACTGCGAAATAAGGAAACTGGAAAATGTTCCACAAACATTTTTTCACAACCTTTTTCGCTAGCGAAATTTCATGATTTTTCGCGTGCTTCAATTTTCGTTTCGCTTCGATCTGTATACTAGGCTTTAACGATAAAATTTAATTTTATTTAAACTGTCTATTAGTATTGTTGCGGTTAATGCAGTCACCGGGCGGTCCCTTGTTTCAGCGTGAGAGTATGCGGGAACGAGAGAACACGCTAAGATAATATTACCTAAAATTTGGTTTTGATACTAATACCCAGAATATAGGTAAAATTTACCGATAAATAACGTTACTTTTTATTTATATTATGAGTAAAGAGCGTTTTCAAATATTTACTTTATTTTTTACCTTAAATTAGCTGAAAATTTAGTCACTATGCAACGAGCAGCAACGCTGATGGCAAGTGGTTGTGTGAATTGTAGTGAAAGTCGAGATTCTGACGCTTTTGGGCATATCGGTAAAACCTCGGTGAAAGTTACCAAAGTTATGTGAAGACGAGTGTGAAGAATTTTTTGAATGAAACCGAAATTCAAATAATTCAATTAAATTTCAACGACGACTTATACGAATAGTGAGTATAATAACCTATTAATAATCCTAAGCAAATAACAAGAAATGACTAGTGCTGCAAACAAAAACTAACCTCACTTATGTGTCCGAACCAGAGTTCGTACGCAAGACTATCAAATCATGGTAAAATATAAATTTTTTGCTTATATTATCCAATTCTAGCTATCAGAGGCCAATCCCACCTCAGCATCCCGCAGGCACCCGTCGTGTCTTCTTGCTGGCATCTCAAGTGCTTGTTCCTGTTCCTGCTGCTGCAATCCTTCCGGAAAGGTACTCGAGTTGTCGACGGCTTGCGGAAACCAGCCAGGAAAGCAGAGTGGTCGATCAGTGATATTCATGACCAAACGACCGTCAATCAAAAATCACAATTAAAATGTATTTTGCAACGATTTTTAATATACTTGCGTGTTTTTTATAATTCTGAGTGGGTACAAAATGTACCATCAAATCCGAAAAATATCTTAAAAATAGCATCTGCAGCGCTCGTGATAGCATTGCAAAAACCAATAATACAGAAAAAAAAACCCGAATTTATCCACCTATGGTGTGATCAGACCCTTCTTACTTATTCAAGTTTATTTATTTTATTGTCATTATCAGTGACCAAGCCCCCCACCCCCGTGTCATCCAGTGACGCTACGCCACTGCCTGGGGGTACCCGGAATATATCCGGGTGTAGTCTATTTGGTGAGGCTACCAATCACCTTATCATCGTATTTTAATGTGATTTAATGGGTTTTAATTCAATTCATATTCAAGAAACTTCCCCGGGGTACCCGGAACATGTCCAAGTGTGTCCAATGTGGTCTGGAACACTTAAAACGACTTGCATTGATCTTATTTTTGAATTCTGTAGTAATTTGATGTGTCGCATGATGGTTTTGATACGTTTTCCATTAAATCCAGCGTGAAGGCCCATATTTACCGGATCTTATTCCGGCCATATCTCCGGAACTGGTTCACCGATTCTAAAACCGTTCAATAGCGTTCAATGGGACCCCAAGACCTATCATTTGGCGTCAAGTTTGTCCAAATCGGTTGAGCGGTTGCTGAGAAACGTGAGTGCATTCATTTCGTTATATACACACACACATACACACATACACACGTACACACGTACACACGTACACATACACACACAGACATGTTCCGATCTCGTCGAGCTGAGTCGAATGGTATATGACACTCGGTCCTCCGGGCCTCGGATCGATAGTCGGTTTTTCAAGTGAAGGGTAAGAAGGGTTAAAACGTAATTTTCGGTAAAAAGTAACGTCACAAAATAGGTAATTATTAACGTTAACGATTCTCAAACAACAATACCTAATTTAAGGTAATCGATGTTTACCGATTATTTAGGTATGTGCACTTTTGTTCGATTATCGTTATTTTTACCGACTTCTAGGTATACACCTATACACCAGGTATACACCTAAAAGTCGGTAAAAAAATACCTTTAATCGAACAAAAGTTTTTTTTTTTCTTCTTTATTTGAGAGATTTTTAGCCATAGGCTAGTTCATCTCTAAAATCGAACAAAAGTGCACAAACCTAAATTATCGGTAAAATTGGTTACCTAAAATTAGGTATTGAATGTAGAGAATCGTAAACGTTAAAAATTACCTTTTATTAAACGTTACTTTTTACCGAAAATTACGTTTTTTTCTCCGTTTTATATCACGCAGAAAAAATTATCGTTGAAACAAAAATATTTGAGGTAAATTTAAACGTAAACTCAGTTTGTTCTGGCCACAAAAATAAAAAGGTTAATTTCAAACGTATTCCATGTTTGAAGTCATGTGATATTTATGTTTAAAATAAAAATAATGTTATGTTTATTTAAAAAATATTCGTGTTGAAAATAAACGTGAATATTTTTGTTTGGTTGTCCTCCGGTTTTTTAGAGCTGGAACTTTGGAACTTACCTACACTGAGGTAAAAAATCTAGCGAGATTCATCGTTTTGCCTTATGTTTATTCGCCACAAGAAATCGGTAAGCATTTCATTAGTTTGCGTTATGAATTTAACTGAATTTCATCAAACAGATATCATACCTTTTTCATAAGGCAGCATTATGAAAATTTACAATCAGCTTTATAGAATTCGATCCATCGCAAATATGGAACCCGTTATTTATTATAATAAAATGCATTATTCCCCATTTAGCTTTTCATTCACGGACAGAAAATTGTTTGCATTGAACACGGACAGAAAATTGTTTGTATTGAACCAAAAAAATCTTTAATTGTATTTAAGCAAACAATTCCAGTTGAAATTATATTGCTTTTTGTTGTTTCAATAATACTTATTCATATAAATTCAAAATAGGATTCTTTTTGTTTTAATCAGCCACTTTTCAAATTCAACTATTGTAAAAATAACAATATTCTATTATTAAGCCAACAATAGTTAATTTTAATTTAGCATTTATTTGCTGTGTCCATTCTCTGGGCCATTAAAGCAAAAATAAATAAATACCAACCATTCCCTCGTTTTCACCCGAACAAAAATGTAAACAATAACAATACTTACGCGTTCCACGTAAGTATTGTTTTTAATTGTAAATTTCGGGAAATAAGTGCAAGATTTTCGAAAATCTTGAGACTTGAGTTAAGTAAGTATGCTGCAATTCGAGCTGCAGGTAATAAATATAATCAATTTTTTTGTTTTTTTTTCCTTTATTTTTTTCCGTCGATCTTGTTTTCCGTACTGAGTACCAATGCTCCCGACGCCAGGAAGGCAGCTCCCACATCTGGACCCTACATATCGACCCA